GAGAGGTACTCCTTCATCTACCAGCCTTGCTTCAGACTCGCCTGCCCATCATCACAGCTCAGCTGTAGGGAACTCCTCTTCAGTTCTGAACAGCAGCTTGTCATCTCAAACTAAAGGTATTTGAACCTACATCACTCTATACATCATACCTCATTTTCCTTCAGCTGTGCTCTAAGATTAAGAATCACCATCATCCTTGTTTCCCCACAGACAAATGGGTAATAACTCTTTTAATATATATTGCACAGAAATTGACAAGTCTCTTATGCTCACCGATGCTGTGCATATTTGATCCAAAATTTGTAATTTATAAAAAATTCAAAAAAAAGTAAAATGTTTAAAATGATAAAAAAAATCTTTTCGATTCTATAATATTTTAAAATATGATTTCTGTGATGGCAAAGCTAAATTTTCAACATCCATTACTCCATTCTTCAGTGTCACATGATCCTTCAGAAATCATTTTAATATGCTGATTTGGTACTCAAGAAACATTTCTTATCAGTGTTGCTTTTTCAGGATTATTTTACTAGAAAGTTCAAATAAACATTATAAATGTCTTTACCATCAATCTTGTTTAATTAATGCATCCTTACTGAATAATTGTATTAATTTATTAAAATCTTACTGACCATAAATCTTTAAATTATTATTTTATTTTTATTTTTTTGCTGTACTGTTGTCTAAAATTTCATTAGCATTTGACAAGGCTTCTGGGTAAATACGATAGAAAAGAAAGAACAATAGAAATACAAAAGAAATTTTTCCAAATAGTCTTTTTTCCCCTCAAAATTACTAAAAGAATTGTTAAACTGAATCATTTAGTGGAAAATGTGCAAAATGTTGCAAATCCAACCACTAATATATGTTGTCCAAACTGAAACTAAATTTGAGTTTCAGTTGGTTTTTCAGTCCACAAAATAGAATATTTATGTCTTGTTTTTCCAGAGAACAAAGTAAGCACAGATGTAATGCCTGCTGGGAAAGGCTCGGTGCTCCCATCTTCTATAGGCAGCTTATACAGCTACATCAAGAATGTGGTTCAAGGCGATGCAGGTAAGAGATCCACTTCAGCCAGACATGATTTTTAAATGAAACCATTCATTTTCCAGTAGAAATGATAATCTTGCATTGGTTCTGAGGAATGGAATTCTTTCTGTGTTATAGAAGTGGACATGAATGAGCTGGATGAGGAGTTTATCAGACTCCTGGCTTGGCAGAGGATCCAACAACTGTTGTCTCCCAAAGCACTTCAACCCTCAAACAAATGTGGGATTCCTCCAGCCGTCACTGCCTCTCTCCCAAAACCTTCCCCTCTCGCAGACGGTAACAAAACTCACCCATCACATCACATTGAGGCTGTGCTGTTGCCCCTCCAGTCATAATATAGCAAGTCTTTGCTTTTTGCAGCACAAAAAAGGGACGTAAAAGGTCGAGCAGTACTGTGTCCTTTAACAGGAAAAGGGGCAGCTATCAACATGTGCTATAGGACTCTGTACATAGGAACAGGTACGGTTTGCTACAACATTGCGTTTGCATTGTTTTGAATAAGATTTATAGAGATTTTTGCTTTGTTTCAGGTGCTGAAATGGATGTGTGCCTTACAAACTACGGTCATTGCAATTATGTTTCTGGGAAACATGCCTGCATCTTTTACGATGAAGTGAGTGTTATCCATAATTATGCCTCATTAAAGGCTCTTGGGAAGCTCATTTTAATTTCATTGTCCAGATTTAACATATCAAGGGAGATGAATGCTTCTAAATGTAATTTAATCTCTCTTAGAACACGAAGCATTATGAGCTTCTGAACTACAGTGAGCATGGGACGACTGTAGATAACGTGCTTTACTCATGTGACTTCTCCGACAAACCAAACATCACTTCACCCTGTGGACTCGCGTCCAAAGTACAAAACAGCATCAGTGAGTACCGCCCATATCTTGTTTATGTAATGCGTGACACGAATTGTAGTAATGCGTTGTATCTGGTTTGGTAAATCCACAGGAGGTAACAGATCAAGGAAGCCGCTTGGTGAGATGTGTGCGGAAGCGGTGCTGATGCCCGCAGGTGGTGTGATGAGCAGCCAGGCTCAAGGAGGACCCAAATCGCCCTGCAACTGTAAAGCCAGCAGCTCCAGCCTGATAGGGGGCAGCGGAGCCGGCTGGGAGGGCACTGCATTGCTCCACCACAGCAGCTGCATTAAAGTGGGCTGCATGCAGTTCCTGTTCAGCATCACGGAGTTTGCTAGCAACCAACCCAAAAAAGAGCAGACGTCCACCAGCGTTAGCCAAGAAGAGACTGAAGCGGTTGACCCACTGACTCCCAAACGCCACCAAATGCCAGTGGTACAGTCCAAGTCTGTATCATAACCCCTCCTCTCCTTTGAAATTACAATGGACTGTAAATGCAGTTTGGAATTTAGGAACTTTGATAAAGCGATTAATTCATTTATTTGTATGAAGGTATTTTGGGGGCTGGGTTTTACGGACAAAGTGTTTGCACATTACATTTCTATCATTTTTTTATGCAAAACCTTTTGACTGAGAAGCACCTCACTTGTCGACACCACATCCTGTATACTTTGTGTTAGTACAAGGGGTTTTTATGTACTCTTTTGAACAATATATTTACTCCAAAATATTTTATTTTGTTATAAAAATGCATTGTTCTTTTTCTGCTGTTTTTGCACACTAGGTAACTATATGCAGAAATGCATACATGTGCAAATACCTACGTAGGATTTATTAGCAGAATCATTGAGTGTTCTGGTTTCTTCTGGAACTGTCCATTTCTCTGTAGTGTTAGAGCCTCTACAGCCTTAGTTGTGAAGTTCATTTGTGTATAAAGCTAGTTGTTCAACTAAAATTGTCCCTTTTGGTCATGTACATGTGACTGAAGTGTCATTTTGTCAGCAAGAAAATGTCTGACCTGTAAGTAAATATATAAAGATTTTTAAATAACAGACCATTTCATGGTTTTTGTTTATAATTCAACTAGAAAAGAAAATGATGACTTTATTCATCCTCATGCGGTTTCAAATCTGTGACTTTTGCCAAAACTGAGCCTTTTTTTTAAAATATATTTAGTTTCACACTAGAAAGTAAGCCATTACGGAATGAAATGAGAGTGAAAAAAATTGACAGATTTCCATTCTTTGTGGTAGCTTTAATCCCTTTGATGTGTGATTATTACATAAATTAACATGGATCAACGCTTGTTGTTTATGTAATAAAAAATAGTATTTTTTATATGAAATTGCTGAGAGCAAAGGCACGGGTTTACTTAACTCTTGTACTGTTTGTGGAACCATGACTGAATTAAGGGAGTGGAGGCTGTATTCTTATGACTATAGCATTTTGCTGTGTTCAGGCTATCTTGTAATTACGAGGTAACAGAACACAAACACGCTGCGTCTTCCGACTTGTTCCGAAAATTTATGAATTTCTTTCAGCTGGTGAACACAGAATAAGATTTTGAAGAATGTTGATAACCAAATAGTTAAAGGCACAATATGTGATTTTCGCCGCTGGAGGGAGCGTATTCAAAATAAATAAATAGACAAAGGCATAGTTTGATGACGCTGTGGCTGAGTGTGGAATCATGGGAGTTGTGGTCTTCATCCCCACAGCCGATGCAATCCACAGGACTCTGGCAGAAATCAACATATTAAAGCGTCTTTGGTGTTTCCATGTTTTCTACAAAACAAAACCGGAAATCGAGGGGTTATGACGTCATTGGCAGGCAACGCAATGACACTATAGACACGCTCCTTGTCACCAGTTAAAATTGCTTATTTCTCTGGATTTAAACATTCTTCGAAACATTTGGGATAATGTAAGTACACAAGTCAGCAATATATATAACACTGTTTTAGTGGTTTTTGGATATTTTAATAAAAAAAATCTTACATGTTGTGCCTTTAACAGTAGCCATTGATTTCCATAGTATTGAAAAAATAATACTATGGAAATCAATGGCTACCTTCCACTGTTTAGGTAACAACATTCCTCAAAATATCTTCTTTTGTGTTCAGCAGAAGAAACAAACTCATACATGTTTGGAACAACTTGAGGGTGAGTACATTTTAATGTAGGAATTTTCATTTTGCGGTGTACTATACCTTTAAGAATGCAGGTAAAAGTGAAGAGATAACCAAGTGAACAAGTGTATTTTGTCTATCAGGTGGTGAGGGTTGATGGTTGACAGGTAAGTGAGCTTTGAACAATCACTGTACTGGTATGTGTGGCGCATTTTTCCCCCTCAAAAGTTCAGTCATGTTGCAGCTATTATTGACAGCCTAGGCTCCTATGTATTGGGACTATTCAGTCAGGTGCTTTTCCAGACACCTCTATTTTAACCATGGCTTCTGCTAAAATACTAGTCACTGCAATTGTTAAGACACTGGATTGTGGTACCACCATACTGAATCTTTTATGTGGTTTTATAGAGGTATGTTAATCTTTAACTACTGTGACCAATGAACCTAATTATCAGGGTTACGAAAATGTGTTGCTTTAAGTTCTATTCAAGTTCGAACTTTATTTTCACGTTATTTTAAAGTTGACATTTCCAGTATAGACTTTTGCGTAATGTAAACATGTTTATTTTACGTTTTTTGTGGAAGAATAAGTAATTTCCATTAGACATTTTTGTTACAAAATGTTATCATAAGTGCAAATAGCTATAACAAATACAGCATTTTGCATGGTTTTAAAAATGTAGGCTAGGTGCCATGTAAACACTAAATAATAAAATCATTAATAATACGTTTATTTTATATTGCGCCTTTCTGCAAACTCAACGACGCTTTACAATCATTAATCAAATGTATTTTGGGGGTCCTGTCCTTAACCCACGGTATTACAGAAATATGTTAAACATCTGTCTAATCGCGTTAATTCTACGTCATTTCCTCAATCAACAACCTTAAATGACTGATTTCAAATGTCATTACAAAAGCAAATCATCCTGTTGATCTGGTTAGTGCAGGAGGTTGGGTTTGGCAAGTAGCCTAACAACCCCAGAATAGACACTGGGATATTGTGGATTGTTGGTTTCGTGCGCTTTATGTTGTATTTCACATTCGAAATGGCAGAAGAGATATTGCTGATCGCGGGTGTTGTGATTGCGGTGCTGATGTTATTTCGTATGTATGTACGCGGAGCGCGATGCAAAAGTAAGGCAAAACTGCATGGCAAGACGGTCATCGTTACAGGTAAGCGTGCCACTTTTTATTTCTTTTTTAAGAATGCGTTTTAAGTCAATACGTTTTTCAGTCGTTTAAAGGACGTCATCTAAACTTTGTGGCGGTGTGCAGGTAGTAACACGGGCATCGGTAGAGCCACAGCAGTGGATTTAGCGCGAAGAGGGGCGCGAGTCATTCTGGCCTGCCGTAACCAAATACGCGGAGGGGCTGCTGTCGCTATTGTGCAAAGAGTGAGAACAATGCCTTAAAATCTATTTACCCGTGAGTCTCAGTTACTAAATAAATCTTTTTTATATAATTGTATATCATCTGTTTTGGTTTCACTTAGGAAAGTGGGAGTAAAAATGTGGTGTTCATGCAGCTGGATTTGGCCAGTTTGAAATCAGTGCGCTCCTTTGCAGAAACTTTTCTCAAGACCGAGAGAAGACTGGATATTCTCATCAACAATGCAGGTTGAGTTTTTGTTTAAATCATAAATTATAATATAGGCCTAGGTAATTCTATATTTTAATCATTGTATACTCTAGCATTCAAAAGTTTGGGGTTTAAAATATTTTAGTTTGTTTTTGAAAGACGTCTCTTCTAAACAATTATGCATTAATCAAAATACCATAAAACAGTATAACTGTGAAATAATATTGCAGTTTAAAATATCTGTTTTCTACTTGAATATATTTGTAATGTAACCCAGTCTTCAGTGTCAAATGATCCAGAAATCATTCTAGTAGGTTGATTCGTTGCTTAAGAAACATTTATTAGCAATGTTGAAAACAGCTGTGCTACTTAATATTTTTGTGGAAACCAAATAAATTTTTAGAAACATTTGAAACCGAAATCTTGTAACATTTTGTCTTTACTGTCACTTTTGCTCAATTTAATGTATCCTTGCTGAATAAAAGTAATAATTTTCTTCCTTAATCTTACTAACCCAAAACTTTTGAAAGTTAGTGTATATTAATATATATAAATAAAAAACCCTCAATATTTAGTGTGGATCTATAACCATCCTGGTGCTGGTTTTGTGAGGAATATTAAAGGGGTCATATGATGCGATTTCAAGTTTTCCTTTCTCTTTGGAGTGTTAAGGCTGATTTATACTTCTGCGTCGGACCTACGCCGTAGCTTACGCATAGACGCACACCCATACGCCGTAGCCTGACGTGCACCTCTCCAAAAATCTAACAGCGCGTCAATTCTACGCAGACTGCAAGCGCTGTGATTGGTCTGCAAGAACCCCTCCCTCCATATGTACTTGAGTTTTGTGTGTGTTTATGTGCACTTTAATATATTTTAATGTTACACCTTCTTATATAAAATAAAACAAAGCAAAGAACAAGTGTCTTATCATTTATTATACTACATAGCATTATACATCTGTAGTTGTCCGCAACAGACAATGTTGATCTGCCGTGGTACAAGTCCTTGTGCATGAAAGAATGCCGTCATCTCCTGTTCCGTTGTTGTCTCCTTTTTGTAGTGCAGACTGTGCTTGTCAAAGGAGGGGGCTTTGTTGAAAACGACGTGTTTGAGAGAGGCGGGGCATAGAGGACCTACAATAATGTACAGTATTTGAAAAATAATGTGTTTTTTGAACATTAAAGCATGTCAACATATTCTGTTACACCAAATACACAAAATAATGATCTTTAAAATAGCATCATATGACCCCTTTAAATCAAAATGTATGCCAAGTCAATATTTCAGACAGAAATCTATATCACGTCCATCTATAATGCATATCATCTGTATTTCAGGAGTTTATATGCAGGGCACTACTGAAGATGGTCTTGGTCTTATGTTTGGTGTTAATCACCTTGGTCACTTCCTTCTGACTAACCTGTTATTGGACCGATTGAAAGAGTGTGCACCAAGCCGCATCGTCACCCTATCTTCATATTTACATGATTATGGTAACCTTGACTTTGACAGGCTTCGCACTCACAAGGAGTTTGGAGTAGGTGAGTCTGTTGTGAGTGTCTTCCGGATATATTCACACAGCAAACTGTGTAATGTGCTCTTCACACATGAGCTCGCAAAGAGGCTACAAGGAACCAGCGTGAACTGTTACAGCCTCCACCCAGGTCTGTGTCCCTTTAACATCATACTGGTGTTTGAGTTTCATATGTAGGCACACTTACAGTGTGTATTTTCTGCAATGGCTGACCATCCATATATTTGTTTCAACAGGTGCTATAAACTCTGATCTCACCCGTAATATGAATAAAATGTCCAGGAGGTTGTTGAAACCCATCGCAGCTCTGTTCTTTAAGGATGTAGAGGCCGGTGCCCAGACGACTCTACACTGTGCTGTGCAGGAGGGCATCGAATCCCTGAGTGGCAGGTATTTCTCAGACTGTGCTGTGCAGAAAGTGAAGGCCAAGGCTAAAGATGATGCTGTGGCCAAAAAACTGTGGGAAGTGAGTGAGACATTATGCGGTCTGTCCTGAATCCCCTCAGATACTTGCACACAGTATATGTTGCACTCACTGCATACATTGCAGGTGTAATAACGTCAGTGGCGGCTCGTGGGTTTTAAAATAGAGGCACACTAATTGTACTGGTTTGGGGATCCCTGCTCATTATTATCATTATTTGCTTAACCACTTTAAAATGACTTTTTGGTTGCTTTTAGTCAGAAAACGTAAAGAAAACGACACACATACAGCAAGATAATATAATTTCACTTACCTGGCCTATCACTTGAAGCAAACATCCATTCCTTCTTAAAAGTCTGTGTTAAAAGAGCCAACTGCTGTAACGTTAGCCTATATCCAGCTTAGGCGTGTTCTCCCTTTATTTTTAATTTGTATATATACTGTTTGAATGACAGTTTGGTAAATCTGTTGGCGATCAAATATTCAATATCGCTACTCATAAGTACTTGGTACATTATCAGCGCAGCGGGAGACGTTCAAACTAATATCATGTAATTTACGTCTCTATGATGATTGGTTGATACCAGAAGGGAGGCTAGCCTCCCATGCGAGGTTTCTTTTCTCAACACTCCTCAGCGCTGAAAGTGAACATTCGATGCTGATTGGCTAATTTTTTTACCAACGGAGGCACGATAGGTCAGCTCTCCCCCGGCCTCCCCCTCCCCTTCTCTATCATTTAGTGGTTGTAATTACATCAGCAGATTCGGCACATTCGCGATAGAAAAGCGGAGCTTTCCAACGTCAGTAACATGTTATGGTATTACACCTGTGAAATTACAAACAAAAAATACACATTCTGAGATATGAACTGAAATTAATTGTGAATTTTATTAACATTAAACCATTGTCCTCCCATTTTCACCTCAAAATTTTGGGGAAGCTGTGCCTCCCCTGCCTCCCCCGACGAGGCACCACTGAATAACGTTAATTATATTTTTTATTATAATCATGTGTTTTACTGATTTATGAAAACGACATCAAATGGTAAATTTGGCTTAGCTTGTGTTGTAGTACAACCCAATTAATTGTTTATTTTATTCACTTGAAATAATAACTTTTTATTTGGACTGAATTAAGCTGCACAGATTTTTTAAATATTATGTAATTGTTAGAAAAACCCACACACACATTTTGTCTTCACAGTAGTCTTTGCATTTGGTGATGAGGAAAGTAGAAGTAATGCTTATTACCTTCAGAGAACCTTTACCCCAGATAACCCTAAAGTTTTGTGAAAAACTTGCCCCACTACCTGACGGATAGTAATATGAAATGTCAACAATAATATGTATTAGCAATAATAGAAATATGTCTTGAGAAACCAAGCCTGTCTTTTTGAAAGTTGTAGGCATTGTAAGCAGCCAAAATAAAAACAAATAAAAATCAAAACTCCCTGCCTATTAATCATTTTGCTTGTTTGGGTTTGCTGATATGTCTTTGTAGGGCAGGGTTTCGGGTATGTGGCATATGGCAATTTTAAGATTTTACTGCAACTTTTAGAGTGATGTGATGAAAGTCGTTTTTCTTATAAAATCAAGTAACCTGTTTGATTCAGAATAAAGAGAAGATAAAACACTTACATGCCTGAAAATGTATCTTTTTGTGATCTTTAAAGGGTTGCATGAGCTGTTCATAGGGATGGATCAGTCCTAAAGATGTGACCATACCATTCAAATTATATACACTTTTTTTTAGTTGTTGTTGTTGTTATAAACATTTGTCAATTGTCACTGTTTGATGTATGAGCTTCTCTTCACTATATTGTTGTTGTTGCTTTTTTTTTTAGACAAATATAAAAATTGTTGCTTTTTTTTAGACAAATATATAAAAAAAAAAGGTAAAATAATATATGGTTTACAATAATGTTCAATATGTTAACACTAGGTATCATGAACTAACAAAAAGCAATACTTTGAGCATTTATTAATCCAGATTACTGTTAATCTCTACATACAATTTTTTGTTGTTGTGCCAATTGTATAAATTATTAATGTATTATAAACAAACATGAATTAACAGTAGTTAAAAATTAAAATGAACCTAGATTAATAAATGCTGTAAAAATTGCTCATTATTAGGTCCAAGTGATAGGCCTATTAACAAACTGAACCTTATTTTTAAGTTTTGGCATGCAAAACTGTCAAATATTGTCCTTATATTGTAATACTAGCCTTATATTGTAATCATTACAAGCTTAAGTTGTAATTGCAGCATGTTTGTTGTGCCTGTTAAGAAACCACTTAACATGAATCATTATAGCTGTATATTACTGCCATCTGGACATTGCTTTGATAAATAGCTCTGGATGATGATACTTCCCAATTGTATCAAAACAAGCATTTTCTGTAAAGCTGCTTTAAAACTAAATGTATTGTGAAAAGTGTTATAAAAAAAAGTGTTAGCAAATATATAAATCTAAAGAAGTGTAAAACACAACTACTATGCACAATTATTTATTTAACTTTCTTCTGTGACAAACCAAATAAACAAATTCAAACTCAGGATGTAGCAGTCATCATTAATTGTGTTGGGTTCATGGTGTAATCTCATAACTGAGCTATCTTCTGGTGTAGAGCAGCTTTCATGTCTGCACAATTCAAATTGTCTGTGATTGTAGTGAAGAAGTGACGTGTGTCGAGTCCCTGCAGGGCAGTGCAGCTGTCGGGATATGCTGAGAGCACGGCCTCATAGTTGGTCAAAATCTCCAGGGCACACAGGAACAGTGCCTCTGGCTGGCCAGGTATCATCACCTGCACATGGAGCACATGGCAGAAGAGCTGAGTCAACACAAACAGAACTTCCTGACTGCAAGCTCCAGAGGTTTTGTGGGATGGCAGAGTGGGAATCTTCTCAGTGACTGAGCTGATAGTGCCCCTCATCGTGTTGGCATAAAGCCGTCCTGTATGCGCCCAGCCTTGAGGTGGAAGCCAATCAGAACAGCTCGAACTGCAAATCAGCTGGAAGATTCGCAGAAGAAACACTGATAGGCGCAACTCGCCAGCAAACGAACGTAGATCGAGTAACGGAAGGAAATCAACGTATTCTAAAGAGTATGGCACATAGAGCTTGTCTGACTGTAAAAGTTCTCGTAACACTTTCAAAACTCTTTCCCATTCCCCAGATGTGCACCACGGGAGAATCTGGCATGCTGCAACTAACAGGCCCTTGCCGAACATGTTGACTTCATCTGGTCTCAGCAAGTTCAGGGAGAGAGTTTCCAGCATTGCCTCATGAACACGGTCTGACAGAGCACAGCATTCCAACCATGCTACAAGTCCAGTACCTTGTCCATACTGAGGCAAGTCCAGTCCGGACCACTCCTGCTCAGGAAGATCACAAACTGACAACAGAGAGTTTGGAACTTCATACTTGAAATGGTTTCCCCACACATCCTTCAGGTAAAAACGCACAGTCCAATCAAGTTCCTCCACTTTGCTGTAGAGCCAAAAGAGAGCTCTGGACCAAGCATCAGGTGCACGGGTCACTTCCTTGCCAACAATTATCCCCAGTGTGTGCAGTACAGACAACAGCAGCTCTTTGGACTCCATGGAGATGCGCGTCTCGCTCTCTACCGGCTGGTCCCAGCACCTACTGCACTCATTCAAGAGCTGAGCCAGACAATATAAAAGCGGGAATGGAGAGCAGCTTATGATCCAATGCACTGAGTCACTCCTGGTCTCCTGGCTCAGGGTGCACTGAAGAAGTCGGAGACAAAACTCTAAGTTGCTTGAGCTGGAAGATACTGGGAGAAGGTATGGCTGGACAAACACATGCAAGACTTCTTCTGGAGGAAGGAAACTCAGCTTTTCTCCTGTGCTTCCAGTTATGTTGCACTTCATCATCTCAGCCAAGAATTGCAGAAACTGGTTCTCCTCTTGAAGTGAGGATAGCTTGCTCCACACCGTGTCCTGCAGGCAACTACACAGCAGATTGTCTTTCTGAACTCCCGGTGAAGACATGAGACCTGAGAGCTGCTGGAGAATCTCGGCTATCAGAGTGTGAGCTCCAATGTTGACAACAGCCATGTGGCAGCATCGCCGCAAAGTGGCTTCAGGATTCTGGAAAGCCACTCGGGCCACAGCAGAGACTGCTGCATCAAGGCTGCTGTTCGCACCACTTTGAATGATGCTGTTGAAGGCCAGATTGAGCTCCTCTGAGAAACCTATAGTTACAGAACTGGGAAGAAATCCGTTTAGACCTTTTCTGGAGATGGAGAGCATTTCTGAAAGTGTAGCATTTTTGTCAGGTAACGACAAGTGGGAAAATAGGTTTACAATAATATTCTTGAGCTTTATGCAGTGCTGAACATCAGCGTCACTTTGACATTTAGCTGTAAGTGTGGAGATCAATGTCATCAAAAGCTCTTTGGTTTGAAACAAACTCCCATTTCTCTCCAGACACTGAATCCACTCTGTCTTACTGAAATTCTGACTAAGTTTGGATGCAAAGAGTCCAGGAAGACCTTCAAACCCCTCAAGATGATGGTCTAAGATGGTGATGGACATATCTGCTACTTCTGCTGCAGAACTTTCAGGAACAGTGAATGATAAAGATGCCGTTAAGCCTTTCAGAGTTACTCTCAAATTATTCAAAGTCTGTCCATTTCCAACCAGGTCTTTTGCATGTGATGGTTGCTCCAAAGAAGTCAGAACTCTATCCAGGCTATCTTTCAGACGGATCGCCAAGACACTTGGGTCATTGCTGGGCATCTTCAGAAGCCCCATAACCTCCCAGGAGCATATAATCTCAAGTGTGACCTGCATGGCCTGGATGAATGTCATTCCACATGGCTTGGTCTCAGCAGGAGTGAGAGTGGCAGCAAGGTCTCGCTGAGCCTCACGTAAGATCTCAATCAGGTCAAAACCATCCAGCACTTCATTTCTCTTTTTAAGGCTCACTGTGCGAGAGATGTTTTGGAGTTTAATTTCTATGGACAGATCAGTAGCATTACCTAAAAGGTAGTTGGTATACAATGTGTCCAGGCAATTAGAGAGGGCAAAATAACACAACTCGGAGGACGTCAAATGCTCTTTTATTTTCCTCAGCCCCTCAAACAGTAAATGCACCACACATGTAGATTCTGGGTCAGGTTTGAATCTTTTTGATGCCAGGGGTGATGGCTCAGTCGTGGACATCATGAAGCGTGAACACTGAGTTGTAAAG